GCCACCAACGGGATGATGGGAATGCCACAAAGGGCCAAAAATAGCAGTTGTGATAGCTATGCAACAAATGTTGGTGAATGTAGGGTGGATGGCAAACTATAGATACCTGCAGAGTATAGTTTGAGGACACTGGCCATCTCCTTTGCATAGATGGGTTAGAGGAACCAGGGCTGCTATCTGTGCTCCACCCTGTAACCACCAAAAGCATCTGTGCCCCTTAAAAAAACACACACACACACAAAATACCAGCCTAAAGAATTCATCACCCATCTTAACATACAAGTATACAAAGACTGTATGAAAGGTATGTACACCTTTGGTGCAACAGGGCTATGGATTCTGCAGAAATCATCCGACAGCCTGCTCACCAACCTCTTCCATGGGAAGAGCACACTGAGAAGCATAAGAAAGTGAGGATGAAGTAAACTGTTGTTCTGCATCTAAGTCCTCTGACACTACAACTCCAAAACAAATGTTCCCAATTAAAGGATCTGGATCTTTTCCAAAAAAACAACTCTCAGAAAAGATCTAACACACGTTCACCATGTTAAAGATACAGGGACACGAATGGAGACTGACAGAAAAGTTTCGTCTGCATGGCAAACAGAACCAGCATAAGAAATCCAAACTGAATAAACGAAAAGTACCAAATCAAGGCCTTTGTATTTCTGTCAGGATATATTTGATTACAATCTACCTCCAGAATGGCTTCCAGTGCTGATAAAATGGCAATTTTTCTTAATGTTTTCCAACTTTCTCCTTAGCAAGGAGCCGCATTCCCCCAGATTTAAGCCACAGAAGGACGTTTTGAGAATTCTTGCACATGATGTTTCAAGTGTTCACAGAAATCATCTAATTGGAATTTTTCTTTTTAAAGAGCCAGGCATAACACATAGTGGCCTGCAACAAACTTGTAAGTAACTAACCTCCCCTATATTTTTCCCTCACACCACCACCAACTTGGGGCTTATCTAATAAATATCTGCTCAGCCATTCTTCTGACTTAAAATCTAGGGCTAATTTATTCTTACTTCTATTTATCCAATTTCATCTAGTTGGGTTTGGCTTGGCATTAATTCTGACTGGACCACACCAATCTAGTCCCTGAGAGACATCATTTCTCAACACGAATTCTGTTTTGGACTAACTCGTTCTGAATTGAGAAATAGTTTAGAAAATAAAAAAAAAAAAATGCAGGCCTTTTCGATCTACAAAAAACAAACATTTCTGTCTGTTTTAACAGATGGAATAATGAGTTTGCTGCTGAGCCTATTTTAAATTTCTCATATTGACCTAGTTATGTTTGATTTTTTAAAAGCCAGCACAATTTCTCACATATGACTAAGGCAATTTAATATTTAAAGATATATTTGTTAAAATAGTAATGTACATTATTGAATAATTCCTAACGTATTAAATATTTAGTATAAGACACACAATGTGCTCACCTTTTTAATGCATTTTCTCAGGTAATCATCACATCCATCCCATGAGGGAGACAATACTATCACACATATTTTACCAATGAGAAAACAAAGCCTTAGAAAAGTTATATAATGACTTGACAATATGCAAAGATTTCTTGGTTTTAATTAAGAAAAATGCTTCCAACCTCTTTGTGATCACTTAATAAAATAAGGGGTAAATAACCTCCATATTTAAATTGGAATTGGAGAGGATTATTTTCTGGTGACTTCACAAGCACCTACTTCAAGTAACATTTCCTGATTTTATTACATTATCTCAATTACATTATGGCCATTAGAAAAGTTGAACAATGTATTAAAATGAATAATTTCTTAAGAATGCACAAGACTAAAATAGATACCTAGTGTTTTGATTACTGTGCATCAGGATAATCTAAAATAAAGACATCCCTTTAATAAGAAAATTACAAGTAAACCAATTCCTTTCTGTTAGGAATTCATTCTGGCTCAAACCTCATTTTTTGATTCTTTGTTCAATCAAAATTAAACCATTAATTACACTCATCTAGTTTGTAAAGCAACTGCACTATTGGTATGCTGCCAAATTTTGTAAGATAGCTGTTTAAAACTATTATTTTCTCTTCTTTAGGTTTTCACACACACACACACACACACACACACACACACACACAAACACGAGACAAAGTCTCGCTCTGTTGCCCAAGCTGGAGTGCAATGGTGCAATCATGGCTCACTGCAGCCTTGACCTCCTGGGCTCAAGTGATCCTCCGACCTCAGCCTCCCCAGTAGTTATAACTACAGGCACGTGCCACCATATAGGGTTAATTTTTGTATTTTTTTTTGTAGAGATAGGGTTTTGCCATGTTGCCCAGGCTGGTCGTGAACTCCTGGGCTCAAGTGATCCATTTGCCAATGTGCCAAAATTACAGGTGTGAGCCACTGCCCCCAGCCCATTTTCTTTTATATAGAACTAAAATGTCCTTTCAAAGTCTGTAAGAATCATGAATCAGAATAAAATGAAAAAGAAAATACAATGCCCCATTCGATAAATATAATTAAAATATATTATCCTGTGTATTTTGAATCTTTGAAATAACTACAGAATCCAAAAAAAAAAAAAAAAATGAAAAATTTAAACAGTACCCAGAGCATTAGGATACTAAAGTCAGATAATTAGTAGGAGGCATAGCTGATAAACTGTATAAGGTCAGTGAAGAGCCTTCCAGTTGGTGTAAAGTCCAGTCTGGCTCTGCAGCTGTTACTCAGCGTGGGACACCAACCTGGATCAAGAAAGCCAGTTCACGCTGATTCACTTAAAAATATATATATTACTTTTAAGTGTAAAAGTGCATGAAGAATGAAATACCACTGATTATTAAGTGGCACACATAGATTTTATTTTCACTTAAATATTAATGAAAGCCCATGAATGTAAAACAATACATTCCTAAACACTTGGACTTCCTGGAGACTGACCCTTATATCACCATATTCTCTTGTCTGCTTCCCTGTTGTTACCAGGTCCTCTCACCTAAGACTAACTTCGACTATATAGTCAAGCTTCGCAACAGTAAGAATAAGGCTGGGAAGCTAAGCAAGAGCCACAGCATTGTGGGATTCTTCCTACTTTGAGATTTTGTGTTTTAAATTAACTTTAAAAGAACAGGGGGCACAATACAATCTAGAGAAACGCACTGAAAAATCTAGAGAAATGTGTTAGAAATGCACTTTAAAAAGAGGGCTCCCTGAAATGAATAGAAAGCAAGGCAGGGGTTCTTATCTCTTCGAGGGGAGTCAGTAAAGGCTTCACAAACGTGACCCCAGTTTTAGGGCCAGAGGTGCAGAGACAAATTTTAAAGTTTCTGCAGAATATAGAAGGCCGCAGTTGATCTTCTCATGGGAGGCAGACGGGCAATCCTCCTCCCAGGGCAGGCTACAGGGACGTGCAAATTGTGCACTCATAGGGGTCACATGCTCAGGAGGGCCCTGTACTCAGAAGGAAGAGCCTGGCACTTGCTGTAACACTATGCCTGAGCTAGCATGATCTCCTTCTCTGCTGACATCCAGCCAGAGGCCTACTGACTCTTCCTTCTAAATGTTCCTTCTAACTGTCCTCTTCTCCATTTAAACTACTTCTAATTGACTCCAACGTAAGCAGCAGATTCCTAATGGGCCTTGTGTCTACCCTAAAACTATTTAATAAGATGACTGGTCTTTCTAAATGGCATATCCGATCCTGCATAAAATCATTTCCCTTTGTAAGATAATCCAATGATGTCAGCATTAGTAATGACCGACTTCTGTGAGGCAGAGTGGGTGTATTATTTTGTTGGCTCGACACCTGTGCTGCTTTCAGGAACACTATTTTGCTTCTTCTGGTAACTCCCTAACCCCACCCTCTACAAGAATGTCCTTCCTATGCAAGCTGACACCTTAACCTAGGTGAGCAAATCTGAGCTTTTCCCTGGGGGAGGCAGCAAGATGTCAAAACCCAGAAGCTGTCAGCATCTATGATTCCTGCCAAGTGTGGAAAGCAGTCAATATCCAGATAGTTAGAAATAAGAAATGGAGAGTCCTAGCAGCAGGTTCCTGGGTTCTAGCTTCTTGAGACGCAGCTGGCATCTCTAATTTCCTGTTTAACTCTGGCTTCTCTGAAACAATAAACTCCTCTTTTTGCTTAAGTTGTTAGTAAAGCTAGGTTTCTTGCTAGTACACATAAATGGCAATTCATTATTTGGTTTCTGCCTCTCCACCTAACCTATCTCCCTTTGTAACCTCTCCCTCACACAGTTTACAATAAAACGCTTAATATTCCACGAATTCAACATACTCTATCACACCTCTGCACCTCAGTCTCTGCACCTCTGGTTCCTGGGGTCACCTTTGTGAAGGCTTTACTGACTTCCCTGGAAGAGACAAGCACCCCACCTTGCTTTCCTAAGTTCAAACTCTTACAGCAAAGTACTGCAATTACCAGTATAGATAACTGACTTGATCCTGGCAGAGCGGTTAAGAACTTGGACTCTGGTGCCAAATTGAGCAGCTCCCTACTGAGTGGCCATAACCTTTCTGCCAGTTGGGCAGACTTCTCCGTAACTCAATTTCTCATCCATAATGAGAGAGACAAATAACGCCTACTCTAGACGACTGTTTTGAAAACAGAAGCAAAACGTGGACCTTTCAAAGTTCGTATGAATCATGAATCATGATATAATAAAAAACTTAATGGAAAGGTTTACTGATTTCACTGGAGCTCCTAATCACAATTACTCTGCGTTTCAGAAAAGCCATCCCCAACATTTGTTTCCTAGAAAATGTCAATAAGCAGGTGGAAATAAAATGCTCCAAAGAACAAATCTCTACGAAGACCTACTGCCAGAGAAACCTACTAGTGAGTGCTCGCAATCTACCACTTCGAGACTGAGACGTTTAAGACAAGTTACTGCCACTTACTTCTCAGCTGGCGATGGAATGTATACACTTCTACGCTAAGCATCAAGTATTTAAGCCACGAACTGAGAGCGCGAGGTCACTGCTGACCACGACGCTCACTGTCATGCGTCACTTAACGACGGAGATCCGTTCTGAGAAATGGAGAAATGGCCCCTTAGGCAATTTCTTCGGGCAGCAGTGACAAACCCAGATGACACAGCCTAGGACTCTCAGGCCACGAACCTGTACAACCTGCTACTGCACTGAACACTGCAGGTAACTAACTGCAGCACACTAGTGAGTATCTGCGTATCTAACCAGATAAACGGTACGGCAAGAAGACGGTATTATCATCTTATGAGACCACGCTGTCCCGCGTAGACCGGCAACGTCCTTCTGCAGCGCATAACCGTATTTAAAAGTGGATTACAAGAGCCGCAAAAACAAGAGGCGTGATTTGTGGTGGTGGCAACCAGGGGAGAGGCAGGAGAAAGGTAGCCGACGACTGCAAGCCACGGGGACCCGGTCTCGCGATCCCGCCTCGCGTCCCAGTCACCAGCTCAGGACCCGACGCGGGGGTCCCGGGCGAGGGCGACTGCGGAGAGCCGGGGCGGGGCTTCCCGACTGGGGCGGATCCCGCCGTCCCTCCCGTCCCTCCCGTCCCGACACGGCCGCAGCCCCGCCGCAAGCGATGGTACCTGAGGACGGCCCTGGATCCGCGGTGCCCATCTCAGCCCTACTCACACCCTGCATGGCAAGGGTCAGGAGAACGAGAAAAGCCATGCTGCTACCGACAGACGCCGGGTCCCACCCGGAGCGACGGCGGGCCCGGCGCGGCCCTCCAGCCTCGGCCTCGCGTCACTTCCGTAGCCGGGTCTAGGCCGGCGGAGGCGGGAGGCGGGACCAGGGCGGGGGCGGGGCGAAGTCCGCGAAGCGGCGGGAGGCGGGCTCAGGCGCTGCACCGCGCGGAGAGCAAGGCGCCCAGCTGTCGGGACTTGGGTTTCTGGGTGTGGGAGGGATTGAGTGCAAGGGTTAAGATCTTTCAGCCTGGCACCCCATTCCGCAATTCTTCCAGTTTTTTTCAGTATCCTGGGGTTGCGAAAGTTTGCATCAGGCCACAGCCGAACCACAAACTTTGTTTTACCATCTTAGACTTCACGTAGGTGTCTTGGAGCCTGACATTTTTAAAAGAGAAAGCCACTTCAAAGGCCATTTCCAATCCCTGCCTTTTCATTTGGGGAAGCTAAGGCTTAGCCAGCGACATGGTTTGTGCAGATTCCTACAGCCCAAATCAAATCGGCTTGGCCAAGAACTACTTTGTTCTTGGAGAAAAAAACTATTTGCATTACCTTCTCAGCAATTCGGTGTCAAATCACAGTTTATTAGGCAGCCTCACATGAACAAGTCTGCTCTCTTACCTCTCTGACTTTGTTATTTTGCAACTCTCCCATGCCACTGCAGCCACGTTGCTAAGTCATTCAGCGCTTGTGCGCAAACATGGTTATGTCTAATGATCTCACCTGCTGAGTATCATGACTGTAAAAATTTCAAATCGCAGCTCACCCTCTCCTCCTCCTTACCCCAGCCTACTGTTTTTTGCCTGGCACCTTTCACCTTGCTGCACACTATAATATACACCTTGGTGTTTGTTTTTTTCTTCTCCTTCTAAAGTGTAAGCTCCGTAGAGCTGACATCTTTACTTGGCACTCAATTAGTATTTGTTGAGTGAAAGAGTGCATGATTACTAGTGTTAAGGAAAATTTTTAAGAGAGAAAACTTTATAAAGACACTATATAAACTAGAGGGATTATCAGCCAGGTCATGATTGTATATTTAGAAGACCCTATCATCTCAGCCCCAAATCTCCTTAAACGATAAGCAGCTTCAGCAAAGTCTCAGGATACAAAATCAATGTGCAGAAATCACAAGCATTTCTAAAAGAAAAAAGAAATAAATCCCTTAGCTCAGTATTTCTCAAACTTTGATGTACATGTGAACCATCTGATAAAATGCAGATTTGGATTCAGTAGTTCTAAACCAGGTTGGGTCTTGAGATTTTGTATTTTAGACAAAATACGCAGGGGATGCCAGTGCCCCTTTCAATAGGGGCACTTTCCACACTTTGAATCAGAAGAATTTAGCTCAATCTAGACTAAGTTTAGGGAGAATATTTCCTTTCACGTATTTCTGATGCCTGCTATATGGAAGATACCTTCTAGTTGCTGTAAGGATGCAAGGATAAGTAACTGATCTTAACTGTTTAGGAGTTTATGGAGTAGGACAAAATATGATATCCAGTTTGTAAACATTTTTGTAGTATTCATCACAGGTTGGGTTACCCTGGTGGTAAACTCTGAGGCCGAGATTAAGGTATAAGGCATTGATTAGGGAGTGTTCTTGGAATAAACCTCTGTGAAGGGGAGGGGAGGAAGCAGAGCAGAGGAAGAAGTTGATCTGTGATGCCATCCCAATAGAGGCTCCCAAGGGGAGCCCTGGAGCTGGGATGGCCTTGTCAAAGTGCCTCGAGTTGGTATGAGGGGCTGGGACTTAAAGCCCAGCACTGATTAGTCATTGAATACAAACTGTCCCTGAAATGGCACATGATTCTGGGGCTGTCCATTTCTTTCATGGAGGCATTCCCCAGAGGAAAGCTGATAGCTGAGGGTGTCTACTAGCAGCGCTCCGAGCATCAGGAAGGGGACAGAACTCAGTCCTGAGAGGAATCTGTGCAAGCTTCACAATCACGGCGCCCACCACCCTACCTATTCTTCTGAAGATTGTGCTAGTCATTTGGAGACTAAAGATATTTATTAATAGGCTGAATATTATCGAGGGATACTGTGTGTGATGGACATGGTGAGGCACTGAGATAAAGACCTGAGCAAGACAGACATGGCCCCTACCCTCATGGAGCTTACTGTCTACTGAGAGAGATAGCTGTTAAATAAGTACTGAAAATGTGGTCATCATTCCCAAGGAGGGCAATGGGAAGAGATTAAAGGAGCATAAACAGGAATTTAACTTAGTCTACATTTTAAGGAAATTCATTTTTTTCTTTTTTCTTTCTTTCGAGACAGGGTCTCACTCTGTCACCTAGGCTGCAGTGCAGTGGCATGATCATAGTTTACTGCAGCCTCGAACTCCTGGGCTCAGGTGAGCCTCTTGCCTCAGCCTCCCAAATGGCTAGGACTATAGGTGTACATCACCATGCCTGGCTAATTTTTTTTTTTTTTTGAGACAGGGTCTGGCTGTATCACCCAGGCTGGGGTATAGTGACACAATCTCAGCTGACTGCAACCTCTACCTACCGGGCTCAAGCCATCCTTCCACCTCAGCCTCCCAAGTAGCTGGGACCACAGGCACCTTTTTGTGTCTTTTGTAGAGATGGGGTTTGCCATGTTGCCCGGGCTGATCTCAAACTCCTGAGCTTAAGCAATCTGCCTGCCTTGTCCTCCCAAAAAGTGCTGGGATTACAGGCATGAGCCACCACACCTGGCCCTATGCTTAGCTAATTTTCAAATTTTTTGTAGAGCTGGGATCTTGTTGCTGTGTTGCTCACACTGGTCTCAAACTCCTGGGCTCAAATGATTCTCCTTCCTCAGGCTCTCAAAATGCTGGGATTACAGGTGTGAGCCACTGTGTCTGGACTTAGGGAAATTCTTACTTAAGGAAATCACCATTATGTTGTGACTGAAGGATAAGGGAAAATTAGCCTGAATAAAGTTAAGAGATGGGGGTGGCCACAGACTAAAGAGAGAGGTAAGAAGAAGATCAATAAACTGTATTTTAAAATCCCGTATAAAAATCTCATACAGCTAACACAGAAACAAATGAGCAGTGCCAGCTCTCTCTGGTAAATTTCCAGTGCCTAAGGGCTGGAAAATATCTAAGCATACATTGATTCCTACTAGAGCCTCAGATTAGTTTTTTAAATCAAGAAAACAAGTTGGGGAGGATCGTAGATCATTCCAAAGCCAAGTGTATACTGAAGTGCTGCTCAGGAACAAGGCTACATTTTGAAAACCACACTCACATGGCTTTCAAGTTAATAGGCCAGATAAAATAATTGAAGAAGCTAGAAATACGATCCATTGAGAACAGAGCCTGGGTGTGCAGCACAAACTGCATTTTGGCTCTGAGCACAGTGTATTTCCTTCCTCTTTTCTCCAGAGCAGAAATGTCTGCCAGCTTCCCTTTAAAGGAGACAGTGTAAAGGTTTGTGGCTGAAGCATATAGCTCTAAATTCCCCTGATTAGTCAGTCAGTTATAGCCACATGCTACCCATGCCTTTATACTGTCCCTTATTTAACTTTGTTTATTCCATAGAACTAATTACCATCTGGAGATTCTACTGGAAAATTGATATAGCTTTTAAATATGAATTAAATACGAATATATTGTATATGTTGAATATATTCATATAGGCATATATATTTCACAAATAATTACTGAAATTGTAGTAATTGTTACCAAGAAGCATAATAGGATTATAGGTGCATAAACAGGGACTTAATCTGAGATTTAAGGAAATGCATCTATATGTCGGTGCATACATAAATACACGTGTATATATACACACACATATAAAATTTTGTTTCAGTAGTCTCCTTCTTTCACTAAAAAATTTGTTTTCTTCACTGTCAGATCCCAAGCACCTAGACAAGTGCCTATTACTACATTAATATTTATTGAATATTGATAACCCTGAATCATCAACATGATGGTTATGTTTATAATGCTGAATCATCAATGTAAGCATTGAACAGCTGAACCAATGTCTGTGGCCACCTATTAAATAAATATATGATGTACAAAACAAACTTGTAAAGAGGTGTGGGACTGAAGCAGGTATAGTTGAATTTATGGCTGACTAAGCTATAATTGAGTCACTGTTAAGAATTTAGCGAGATATTTGGATATCATACTGGTACTCAACAAAGCACTTGGCTCTTGCCCTGCACTCAACCCCTTCTTAGCTCTCATGCTGACATCTGATCATAGCAGACCAACCCCTGGCTTGAAGTTGGTTATCCATAGACAGTCAAGTCTTCCAGTAGATGGCTTGTCTTAGTGCACTGCCTAGGATAGATGCCACATGCTGCGTGGTGACTTGGCAGATGATGCTCATTAGCTGACTGCTAACACTCAGTCCCCTTCTACCTTGCTGCCTCCCTACTACAGAGGCTACACAGACTCATTACTCACTTTCCCAGTCTTTTTCGCATCTAAGTATAGGCATGTGATGTAGTTTTGGCCAATGAAACACAAGCAGAGTTATGTAAGGTATGTGTATGCATGGTGGGTGTCAGGGTGTAATGGGGGAGAGGACTGGAAAGCATTCTGGGAGAACCTTTCCTTTCTCATAGAAGGGGCAGATGCAACGGGAGGGCTTGCTGGCCTTGGCCCTTTTCCAAACTTCTTGCTTTGAAAGTAGATCCAGTGAGGTCTAGATCTGCAGCAGATCTTGGCATCTTGCAGCCATGAGGCAACAAGATTGAAGATGAAAAGTCAACAGCTACCAGTGGAAGAACAGGAAGATAGAAAGCCTGAATCATCATCAGCATTGAGCTTCTGAACTAG